CGGTGTCGATTTTCATTTCGACTGTGTGGGTCTGACCTAGTTCCTTATCTGACTGGGCTACCACATCTCGATTGTTCCTTAACAGACCCCCCACTCTGGTTCTAAATTGATCCGGTGCTAATATATCCTCATCTAAGATTCCTTTTGTTTGCTCTACTAGCTTCCTTCGTTCCTCCTCGAATCTCACCCGATTCAGAGTTCGTAGGGAAGCGCTCTCCCTATCTTCTCCCTCTCCCTAACCTTGATAGTCTTTTGGGCCTGGTTCACCATCATAATGGGCACCAACTCGGCTGCCTCCACTACCGTTTCGCACAGGGTTACCTCGCCATCTTCTAGGCCCTTTCCTTCTACAGGGACCAACTGCAGAGGTCCTCTCCGTACCTTTTTTTTTTGACATTAGCCTACCCTTTCCCGACACTGCGGTCCTAGGAGGTAACTTTACATCTTCCTCCACCACTATGGTTATCTCTTCCTCAGGTGGGCATCCCAATGGCGTTCTCTCGCCGTTCACCACCAACGCAGTAGGAGTAAACTCGATCTGGGCCTTCTGGCTCCGGAGCCAATCTTCTCCCAAGATTGCCTCTGTACACAGGTCGGGGTTACGTAAAAATTTTGGGTGCTTTTCACCCTCCCAATCCTCACCGGGAGCCTCACCATCCCTTTTATCTCCAGGGGGCCCCATCTGCTTGCGTGATCTCTATGTCCGCTTCCCGTAACCTTCTCTTCCGTTTCACCCGCCTGTATGTTTCCTCTCTCATCAATGACACAGATGCTCCTGTGTCCACCAAAGCCCTCATCTCTCTACCACCTATCTCTGCTCTACAGGATAGTTCTCTCTCTTGCGTTAGCGAAGAGAACACTTGAGCTTTCTTCTTCCTGGGTCCCCACCTTTGGGTTAACCCAGCCATAGGCGCCAGTAGTAATATATCACCTTCATTTTTTTATGAGGTGGAGTTCTGCGCCCCCCTGCACCTGGGCGACCCCAGCCGGACCTCTCCCGGTCTCCCATGGCCGTTTCTAAGAATACAGTTTCTTTTCAGGTGTCCTGGCCTCCTGCAAAACCAGCACCTTCTTGCTGGACAGCTTGCCCGCAAAGTGGCCCGCCCGACCACATGTCCAACATTTTGCTCTTTCCCTTTTTTAACTGGGTTGGCCTTGTGTCTATCCTCAGGGGACCCGTCCTCTATTCAAGCGGTTCGCCCACCCACTGGTCCAAGTTTTATTTCTCTCCTTTTTAACTGGGCCACCCTCCTCTTAATTCTGGGGTGGCCCGCTGGCTTTTCTTGGGCTCGGCCTTCTTTGTTAATATTGGTGGGGCACCCTTCCTCAGCCCGCACCACTTGGCCAGGTGTCCTTTCTTACCACACCTGATGCATCTGTCACGATCGAAGTCTGGGGCAACCCCACTTCGTCGGACATTCCGCCGCCCTGTGGTCCTCGTACCCACAGGTCCAGCAGACCAGCCCGTATCGACCCGGCGTGGGCTTATAAAAGCCACGCCTGGTCGACCATGCCCCTTCTATTGGGGTCCTCTTCTTCATCCCCTGATTCTGCCCGATCCACCTCTTCCTTAACCCTCTGATTCCACACGGGGCTCTTCCGCCTACCCCCTTCCTCCAGCCTCTTGACTTGGTATCTGCTTCTTCCCACACCTCTTCACTTTATCCCACACTGGCTCTCCCTGGCCAGCTCTATCGCTGCCGACAGTCCGAGCGGTCCTTCTTTCAATACGTCGTGACGAACACGCTCGTCGCTCAGCGCCTCTACATACAGGTCCGCCAGTTGAGCCTGCATAACCGCGTTATCCCTGACCACTTCGGGGAATGCCAATGACGATAGCTTCCCCGCTCGGGCCCCTAATTCTCCCGGGGTTTCATCCCGTAGCTGTGTCAGTTTTAAAAGGGCCCTCATGGCCTCTATGGCCGTACCTTCGTCGGCGAATTCTTTGGTCAGTTGTCTTTCTATTTCTTCCCAAGCCAAGCGGGGTTGGTTCTCCACGAGCCCCCTTACGAACTCAGACGCTTTTCCCTTTGTGGCATCGTATGCCAGGTACAGGGTTTCTTGGTCCGAGAGCTCGTAGATGGTTCGGCTCTTCTCGAGGATTGCCAGCCAGTTCCTAAACTCCTTCCCGCTGCCATCAAATACTGGGACCCTCGGTCCACCCAACAGCTTCCTTAGATCCACTGACAACCCCCGCCCTACTTCTTCTTCACCCCCCACTGCTCTATCTGACTCATAATCTGACATGTCTACAGAGAAAGACAGTCTATACAGCAACAATCGAGGTTGGGAAACAAAACAAGGTGTCCTACCTTACAGACGATTCTGTTCTTTCTTTTCCTTTGGTCCCGGGTCGTTCTGAGTTCTGTCTGAATTTTCAGCAACGGCGGTCGATCGTGGTCTTCTCAGGGTTGAAATCCTGGTCACGGCACCACTTGTGACGGTTACACACCTGGCCCAGTGTCGGATCCTTTGGTTACGGCGCCAACGGTGACGTCGCTCCTCCTGGTCGCTCCTCCTGGGTCCAAGCGTGCCGCTCCAACCCTTTGGTCAGATGATCACCAGCCTCGCCTTTCCCGACTCGCTTCCAATACCTGGTCACTAAAGCAACTATACCGATCTCCGGTCTGTCTACCCACGCTGTGTTTAGATCTTAGACAGACGGGACCAGCAGGGATCGGGGCCGATACAAGTTGAGTCCGACGGGGGTGGCAAAACACAAATAAAATAAAAACTCACGACACCAAACAAAATTGCTGATAAAAGGGTAACAACCTTTTATATCTTAAAGTCCGTTACATAAAAACAAAAGTGTTCTCATTTCCCGACCCGCTCTGTGGACTATGGCACCAAGCTTCTATCACACAATAGAAAAATGTCGAATTACCTACTTTCTAGAATCATGTATGTATGTCGGAGTGTGGTTCAGTTCGACACTGGGGCTAATTTCTATCGATCATTCGCAGTTGATTCTTCTCTCCGACTTGAGTTGTATTTCTTCTTCTTCGTCTGCTTGGGCTGGTAGTTTTCCTGTTTCAACTTGGTGGAAGATTTCTTGTTTCAACTTAGCCGCAACTCTCTGTCGTCTGAGGTGGTCTCTTCTCACTGCCGTCCGGGCTGAACTTTAACTTCTCATCGACTTTCGGCTTGTCTGCAGCTCCAATTCTTCTCAGGCTTTCAGGCAATCTTCTTCTTCATCTACTTGGGCTGGAAGTTCTTCTTGTCTGAGGGTTCTTTTCTCGCTGCCGTCCGGGGATGAACTCATTTTTGTCGATTGGGGCCCTGCTTTTATTGACGCCGCAACAAACTGGGGTGGGTCTGTCGGCGTCAGGGTTTTCTCGATAATTCCAAAAACTGCATTAATTCTGTCTTCTCCATTATCGCTATTGTTTTCGCCCCTACTTCCTCGCAGTACCTTTGGTGGGGCGGCGCATATCCATCTCTCTTAGTCTCTCGTATGTCAGGTGACCGCTTTTCAACCAATCGTTCCTGATCGAGCATTTCTTTCCCTTTTTCTTCCGCAAGTCACGTGATCGTATTCGACCAATTGTTATTGGTCGAACATTTCTTTCCTTTTCTTCCGCAGGTCACGTGATCGTATTCGACCAATTGTTATTGATCGAACATCCTCTCCCCTCTGTTTGCGGGCGTGGTTACATCGTTCTTGTTTAAAAAAACAAAATCCAATTTTTCCCTTTTTGCACGTACGCAAAATGACAATCTTTGGCTTTCTCTCACCTGGACTTTGTCAAACAGCCCGCTGCTAATTAGTCTTGACTTTAGAAAGGATCTTTTCCGCCTTCTTGGCGCCCTCTGTGAGCCAAAAGCAATTGTCCCTCTTTTACCTCTTTGTTTTCCTGATAGTCGAAAATCTTAATTATCTACATTGAAATGTCTCTACTTTATTAACGTGGGTGTCCAATTCTTAACAGGTCAAGATCTGTATATCGTTCCACCGGTAACTCCCTCAACCCAAAAACACTTTTCTCTGATTAAAAATTTCATTTCTATTGTTCTAAACCAAATTGATAAGGAGTCTCTCCACGCAAAAAGTCGGTCAGATGCTTTGACGATATCTGGTCTACATCAGTGGCCCGTTTTGATATCATGTCTTTTTTCCCTTTCTTTCTTCTTATTATTTATAATTCTATTCTTCCAATTGTCTTTCGAAAATCGGCCAAGACGCTGACCTAAATCTCTTTCTGACTCCTATCTCCACCCTCAATTGGGTCATGCATCATACAACTCTTTTTCTCTCTTCTTCTTTCTTTTCTTTTTTTTCTTTTCTTTCCTTCTTCTTCCCTTAAGATCGTCTAGTACAATCTTAGTGAATTATTTTCAACTCAGTTATTTTCCGTTTTTAAAAAAAAATTAACAACCTGTTTAATAAACTGAGTAAGAAAAAATTAAATCATATTTCTAGGAATATTTCTAATAATGCAAGGTGCCACACAACGTCATTAATTTAAACGTGCTACACGGTTGGCATCTCGGTCCCACCCATTAAATGTCGAAACAATTAAATGTAGCCACCTCTTCTACTCCAACAGCTTCTTCTCTCGCGCTTCCCGACCGTGGAACTCCCTTCCTCTTACTTGCTTCCCTGATAACTATAATCTTCAAAAATTTAAGTGTAATATAAATCGACATCTTCTGTTGCCTTGATTCCCGTTCTGCATTTTATCCTTTACTCACTCCCGCCCCCCACACTATACTCAGTCTTTTCTCTTACTTACACTCTCTGTAGCCCCTAGCGTACTAGTGGCACTCCCACCTTGCTTGGAATGAAATGCTTAAAAAAAGTAAAAAAGACAAGATTTTAAATGCTGTCTTTTTAAAAGTATAAAAACCTTCCATATTTTGAAAATTGGTGCAACACAATCTTCTTAACCCCTATTTTGCTCTATTTAGACACTAACCTAAATTAAAAATCTGAATTTTGGATACCGAAACGCAAACACTGTTTACCTGTGCTAATCTTGCTAACTACGCAACATTTCATGAGCGGTTTTCAAGAACAGTCAGAGATTTACACATAAAACATAATCTATCTTGTCTCCTTTTCACGATATTTTCCATACCATTTTCTTATTTTTTTAAAAATTCTACCAATTTTTATTTTGTTTCCACTCATTGTGTTATTTTCTGCGCCATTCTTTCTTTATTTCGCTTTTCTTCACAATTCTTAACTGTCACTCATAAAATTCTAAGAATCTTTCAGTCTTTTTCTCAGTTTTTATTACTCTTTACCTCTCATTTATTCTGTCATCCTTTCCCTCTTTCTTTTTTTCTCTCTCTCTGACTTTTCACTCGTTTGTTTTCACATTCTCACGCTATCTGTCATTCATTCCCTTTCCCTCTCTTCCTCACGGTTTCAGGCTGTTTCTCTCTTTCTCTCTCCCTCTCTTTCAATCATTCATTCTCTTTTTTGTCTCTCACTTTTTCAATCTCTCATTTATTCTGTTACATGTTCCCTCTTTCTTTCTCTCTTTCTCTCTGACTTTCTAAGTCGTTTTTCCTTTTTTTTCACTCTGTCATTTTAATCTCTTTTTTCTATCCCTCTCAATTATTCAGACTTTTTCTTTCTCTGTCAATCACTCTCTTTTTTCTTTCTTTCACTGTTTCAATTTCTTATTTATTCTGTTGTTTTTTCTCTCTTTCAGTCTATTTTTGTTTCTTTCTTTCTCTCTCTTTTTTCTGTTATTCATTCTCTTTCTTCTCTATCTCACTTGTTCAGTCTATTTCTGTTTCTCTCTCTGTCAATCATTCTCTTTTTTTCTCTATCTCTCTCACTTTCAATCTGTTTTCTCTCCTTTCATCCCTCTCTCTTTCACTGTTGATCATTCTCTTTTTCTCTCACTCACTTTCAATCAGTTTTTATTTCTTCCGTTCTTTCTCTCTCTATCTTTTTAGTCAATAATTCTCTTTCCTTCCCACTCTTTCAGTCTCGTTTTCTTTCCCTCTATCTGTCTCTGTCAATCCGTTTTTTTTTCTCTCTCACTATTTTATTCTTTTTTTTTCCATCGGTATGTCCGAAACAAAACCGCTAATTCATACAAATATTCCCACGAATAAACAATTTTAAAATGACTGAGCAAAACTTGCGGCGCAAAAGGTTTTTGTACTCTTTAACTTTGCCGACAAGTAGACCCAGTGTATATACAAAAAAAAAAAAAAAATTCTTAGTATCCCCTATCCAAAAGCGAATACAGGTCGCCCCTGTTGCTAATTCTCCATTGTTATATCCCCTGGGTGCAAACGTATTCGTCACAAACAACAATGTTTATCGTTCTTCTGAGTCGATAACTCGTCACTGTTGTTTATCATATTTTGATATGTGGTAGTTTTGTATCTGGTAAAAATTGAGAAAAAAAAAGAAAAATAGATATAGTCAGTTCAATCGGTCTTTGAAAGAAATACTGCTGTGTAAACCGAAATAGTACAAATAATAATAATAATAATAATAATAATAATTCGCTATAGATGTGGAAATTCCACGTGTATTGACAAATGTATAACGAACTTCATTACAGATGAAAAGGCGATTTCGGTTCTACAGAAGGATGCTGAGAATAACATTAATGGAACATGTTAACAACGAGAAAGTTTTAAGAAAACATGTGAACAAAAAGGAGAGTTATACTTGGAATCAAAAAGAGACAACTGAAATTTCCTCGACACATAATAAAGAAAGAGAGCGTGGAGAATTTAATACTCACACAACAAATCTGAATAGAAGTGGGGCAAACGGAAACACCGTGTAAACCTATCTAGCGAGCTTGGGTAAATCGATGAAAAAACAGGGACTAGGAGGGATAGCAAGGAGATAAACATTGATTAGAGCTAGAAATAATAAGAAATTGTGGGAAAGCCATGATCGGCCATATCCTGAATTGACAACTAGACCATTTATTATCTCATGACGATGCTCTCCTCTTACTATATTTTCCAGTATCTTCTCATTCTCTTCCTTGTTCTTTCCTGTCTTCATTGGCCGACCATGTTTTTATTGAAGTGTTATGTCGGGTAATTGGATAAAATCTACGTAACACGCTTCTTCCCCCAAAACAAAAATATAAACATAAACGTCGGTTATAATTGTATATCGAGAAGAACGCTGAAGATGTGGGGGGACGCTAAACTTTAAATTTCAATTTTTACATTTCTGGCGTCTGATTTATCTTGACGTACGCCTTAATCGACATCATTCTCCTTTCCAATGTGTTTGTTTAAATAAGATAATATAGATAAACTTCATACGAGGAAGAAGAATGAAGAATTTCAAATATTTTCTTTTGCATCCTGTCTGTCATGTAGGAATGAAGTGTCGCTGCCGACACTTGGGTTTGAACTCGAATCCCCAGAGAGCAAGCACAGTCGACCTCATTTTGAAATAATGAGATCACGTGACGGGTAAAGGAAAAAAAATATATATATGGAAATTAGCGGTGCCTGACCGAGTATCTTTCGAAGGTGTTACTATTATTGTATCTGTGATTTACAAAGTCTCTCCTACAAACTGTCTTTGATATTTTAGTGGGGGTGGAGGTGTTATCTTGTCATAAAAAAATAATATATTTTCATTTTTACTATTTAATCTTCTGCACATTATCTCATGATATACAAAAAAAAAAAGATTTTGTCTCTCATTTTTTTTTTACTTCCTTGTAAATGCACAAAACGCTTCTCTGTAAATCACGTAGACTGAACATTATACAGTAAAAATACCAATTTAGCTAATAACTGAGTGAGTCTGCAGACTTACTGACTCCCCATCATATTTGCAGATGTATAGATTCGTAAAAAGAAAATAGATTTGCTAAAAAGAAATGTCGCGGATAACATTTCTAATATTATAATCCCTGACATATTTACAATTTAGCCAAGTCATTTGAATTTCTCCTTCATTTTATGATCATTTATTGAAGATTATATACTAAACGTCTAATTACCTTTTATGAAGACGAATCCTCATTCGCATAAGACTATAAATGAGTTTAAGTCAAATAAACAATTTAATGATACCTAATGTCGGTAATGGATAGCGGCTCGAATTGAGGAATCGCAGTACCGAGTTCGAATTCAAGTCAAATCCATTACATTCACTTACGTGCTAATACCCTTGGGAAAGGTATGAATCCTCTTCTTCTCCCCCAGCTATGGGTAAATAGCAGGACAGACCGGGTTCTATAGCTTTGTATGACAACTGGTCTACCTCAGAAAGAAATAGCAACCTGCTGCGAGGAAAAAATCTTCCTCGTCAGTCATGTTTCGAAAGATACATGATCGCCTAAGCGTGTATTACGTATGACACGTAACTGACTGAATGTCGGTATTCCTGGTATTAGTACTACAGATAAAATCTTTTCATTTAAAAAAAGGAATAAGAAGGCGCAATAAACATAGCTGTTTTCATCATAATGTTGCACTGATAATGGCTATAAGCGAACAATTATAACGCTTATTGTACTTGTGAAATTATACGTGTGGAAATGTCAATGAAGATTACCGCGACAACTGCAGTTCCTTCTTATGCATACAAATTGTATAAGCACAAACCAGAAGCCGATATTCAGAAGAGAAAAATTAGAATATTTTCTTTATATTTGCTGATATTTAAACGGTTTATCCAATCCAGGTATATATAGTGCAATATTATATTGAACCGGCTAATAAAAACACATAACTTAATCTCTGTTATTCAATTCCTAACTGCGTAAATTATTATCGGCCAGTTTAAGCGGACCTGAGTCCCTCATCTAAAACGTGGACCTTACATTCTTGTCTGTGATATCTGATATCGAGACTATCCCTGCTGATTCTCGACTTGGTGTTTATATATTTATATGTTAAACCAGGAAATAAAAATCAAGTCTACCTTGCACCTGGCTTCTTTGAAGGTCCTTTAGTCTATTCTAGCATAATCTGGATTTAGACACATACTACAATAGCTGTCGTTGATAAAGAAAAGAAAACTTGCCGGATAGTGACAGATTTATGGTATCTCAACGAAAGTGAAAGACAGAGAGAAATAGATCGCAGCGTAAGAGCTACAAAACTTGTACAATATGATTTTTTTATAGTTGAAAAATTATGATTATTAAATAAGGATTTACTCGAAAGGTTCCCGGAAAGTTACAATATACACTGAAAGAAGGTTAAAAAGTTGTGACAATAACAACCAAAATGAGGACACTCGTTCGATTGACTCACTTAGTAACAATGATGGTAATGGTTGTGACTATGACCATTGGAACATTAAAGAATGGTGCGAAAGTTTCTTGAAAATAAACTGAAACATTAGATATTCCAGAAAGAATCGAAAGTGTTCCAACCATAGTACGACAGTTGTCAGTGTGTATAATCAGAAGTGTATTTGAGAATTTAGAAGATTCGCTACAATTGGATTTGCAGCAATGTTCACAAAATGACTTTTGGCGAATAATAATAACTCTAGTGTAGATACGCTGTGGAAACTTAAATGAGAAACAGACGTAATTTATTATTATTATAGCAGCTTAAGAATCATTTATATCAAGACAATTGCAGATATCCCATTTCTAGAAAAAGAGACGAGACTTTAAAGTCGACAGATAGGAACAGTGATACACTAGGAACTATTCAAGTTGCTAGTGTTTATTCATGGAAGCAAATGACATCAGCCAAAAGTTGTAAGCTGTCACAATAGACAATAAGAATATTATATACTGTGGCTTGGTCATCGAGATCCTTGCTTATCCAAACAATAAGACTGTATCTAGTTGTTATGAACAAGGAAAATAAGATGTGCCAAATCGTAGATATGGCTGCAATAGCGGACGATGAAGGAAGAAAACAAAAAAAAAAATCGAAAAATATCAAGCTCTGGAAGTGAAAAAGCTGTTGAACATAAACCGAGTCAAAAACTCGTGATTCGTAATTACATAAAGATAAAGGTTCGAAAAGGAATTAAGACTGCTCGCTGTATTATTGTTGGGCTAGATTGCTGTCATGTTAGTGAGGAAAATGCTAGGGATTTGGGATTTGTTGTCACTCAATCTCCTGCAGCAACTACAACACATTTGGTGTGAACATGCAAACGCATGAAATATAAGTTAAATATAGTGTGACTTAGATTAGGGTAACACTGGCTTTCTTGGTCGATTTAGATATTTTATTAAAAAACATTTTGTTGGAATCAGTTTGCTGTGTTGTTTTTTTTTTTTTTTTTTTTTTTTTTTCTTGTCAATTCCAGTCGTTATTTCTTGGACATTTCATACGATGTGCTGAAAAATCAAATCTAAGACGAAATAAAAGAAGTCTTTCTTTTCACCACCGAAACTATTCAAAGTTGATAAAACAAGAATAAATAAAGAGAAAAGCAAATAAATGGCGAGACGAAAAATGTCTTTGAGCAAACTGCGTAACACGGGTCTGAGATTTTGAGATAAATACATAGAAACACACACACGCACACACACACACACACGCATATATATATATATAGAAAAACATATTTAGTGTTTATTTATATATACATATATACATGTGTGTGTGTGTGTTTGTGCGTGTATGTGTGTATGTTCGTATGTGTTTGTGCCTGTATCTGTGCCTCTGCGAGAAAATTCACACACATTAAAAGGTATTTACATAAAACCAGAACTCAATATATTTTTTATTTAATGACGCTAATGTAAATATAAACCACTCCATATATATATATATATATATATATATATATATATATATATATATATATATATATATATATATATATACGTTTTACAATATCACATTTGCATATAAATACATACTCATATATACGTATATATGCATCTAAATCTTTGTGCATATTTATATAAAACTATATATATATATATATATATATATAGAGAGAGAGAGAGAGAGAGAAAGAGAGAGTGAGAGAGAGAGAGGGATAAAGAGAGAGAGTCAGGAGTGAGAGAGAAAGATCAGGAGGGAGAGTGAGAGAAAGAGAGACAAAAAAAACAAATAAAAAAAAAAGAAGCAATCCACCTGGGTATTTCTGGATGATAACGTTTCTCAAGCCAGGAGTCTTTGTAGTCGTACTGCTTGATAACAAAAGCTAAAGCATTAACAATAATAAATAAAATCAATACATAGAATTATATTAAAATGATGTTTTAATAGAATTTAAAAATAAAATTAATAATTAAATTTGATGAAGGCTCCTGATAAGTGGATCTAATCTCTGCGAAACTCAAAGTGACAAGAGAAGTGAACATCCTCTTTTATTTTAATAGTATACTATTACACAAACACTCACGCCCCCCCATATATATATATATATATATATATATATATATATATATATATATATATATATATATATATGTTGCTTCAAGTGTCATTTCGGGGGATACTCGTTTTTGCGTAGACGCTCCATCTATTTTAAACTTTAGTTTTTATACTGATTTCCGTACCCAAGCAAAATAATTTTTTGCATCGTATCGTGACCGGCGATGAAAAGTGGATGCACCACGATAACCCTAAGCATAGAAGATCGTGGGGTAATCCCGACCATGCATCAACATGGCAGCAAAGCCAAATATCCATGGTTTGTTCTTCTGTTCTGCATTTGGTGGGATCAGCTGGTAGTAGTTCATTATGAGCTGCTCAGACCGACCGAAACCATCACGGTAGATCGCTATTGACTACAATTGATGCGTTTGATCTGAGCATTGAAGAAAAAACGGCAGCTATACGAGCAGAGACACGACAAAGTGATTTTGAAACATGACAACGTTGCAAAACAGGTGAAAACCTACTTGGTAACGCTTAAATAGGAAGTCCTACCCCACCTGCTTCATTCACCAGACATAGTCCGATCATCACTTATTCCGATCTATGGCACATGGCCTGGCTGAGCAGCACTTACATTCTTATGAAGATGTCAAAAACTGGGTCGACTCGTGGTTATCTTCAAAAGACCTTTCGCTTTTCCGACGTGGAATTCAAATACTGCCAGAAAGATGTGAAAAAGTGGTGGCTTGCGATGGGCATTACATTCAGTGACATGTTTCTTACTTAATTTTGTAAATAAAACATTACTTTTCATGAAAAAGCATCGATAACTTATTCAAGGTAATAATATATATATAGACATATATATATATATTAGGACCTTGAATAAGTTCTCGCTGATGTTTTCCCTAATATATATATATATATATATATATATATATATATATATATATACAAGACAAGAGTTAATACTTCTTCCGTTTCAAATTTAGACACCCCCACCTTTCCCTGACTTGACATCTATGAAAGTTACTCTATACTGATACTTATTATTAACACCCAACACACGCCTACCCAATTTAAACAATCCGCCCTAGCGGTTACCATGGAAATTTTGATTTCAATTATTAAAACACGTAAATTTCAGAAATACGTTATTCCAAAAAAAATTTCGCTTGAAGATGGAGCAGAGCTTACTTTGACACAATTTAATTCAAATAATTATATTGAAGTTGTCGGCTCTTGTTTTGAAACATGAGACCTCTTATGTCGCGAGTTGGAATCATATTTTTAAATAAATAATTATATATATATATATATATATATATATATAGACTTGTGTATTCGTGCCGTTAGAAATGATGGTTATTTTTTATCCTGCGCAGTTATGTTGTTGATAAATAGCTTTACGTAACAGAAGATTATTTGCTCTATGAACTTTTGTTTTGTACATTTCTTGCTTTTCTCAGTCCTCTTTCTGTTGTGTTGCTCATCTGTTTCTTCTCGAAGACTTTCTTCCATTCGCATTCTCATATTTTCTCTATTTGCGTTAGATTCCTCCTGTTCATTTCATATTTAATCCTTTCAGTTACCTAGCGGCTCTTCTTGAATTACCTTATTCCTGTCTTTCATTTTTCTTCTTTCCGCTGATCTCTCTCTCTCTCTCTCTCTCTTTCTCTCTCTCTCGTAGGTCTTCTCTCCTCCTATTACCTTCTTCTGTCTCATTATTTCCACGTCGTTCCTGCGATGCCGATGAATATCTTTACGTACCACCCTACCGCCACGTCTGTATTTGATTCTGAGACAGGCTTAATCGCTGCCTTCGTTTTATCTCTTGTTCTTTTCTTCAAGGTTAAGACGGCGACAACAAAGCTTATTCCAAGACCAAAACAATCACTTAAGATGATTCTGAGTGCCTCTAATGAAAGGCCTGAACAAATAGGGCAATAATCTAAGAAAAGTAGGAGCAAAGGAACCGATTAATTAAATGGCTCATTTTGCTTGGGATGCAATTTTGTCTCAATGCAGATATTTTATTATTTTATTAAAACGACCGTGCTAATGTGGGATGTGAGCACGTTTTTCAGCGAAAGATAAAAATTCCTTATGAATCTTCGCGGGTGGGCGAATATTTTTTTATCAATTAAAGATTAACTGCCATATTGTAGGCGTTTCAATCTTAAATGCCTCAACTCGCTCACAGGACATTGAAAGTAAGAGAGGCAAAGGAAAACGACGAATAACTTACCTAATGAGCTTGTTATATAATTGATGGAACATGGATTAGAAAAGTTAGGAAAAAGGCAAGCCTTACTTAAAAGGTTCAAAAGACAGGGAGTTGTGGAGATTCTTGATCGCCTACGTCCTGAATGGACACAGTACATAGATGCAATAAATAGAATAATAATTACGGATAGCCAAAAAAAAAAAAAAGAAAAAAGCAAGGTGGGTTAGGGACAAAAGTAAACATGAAGAAAAAACTATTGAATCTTTTACATACCCAGGAAAAGAAATAAATTCTACTGGAAAGGGTGTTAAAATTTGGGTAGCTAAAGCTTGGCCCGCCTTGAATAAAATAGATGAAATTTAGAAATCTGTTCTACCAGACAACCTCAAGCGGAGATACTTTCAAGCCAATGTAGAGGCGGTGTTAATGTATAGTATCACTGCTTGGACATCAACTAAAACCCTTGAGTCTAAGCTTCATGTAATTTTCATTTGGATGCTGAGAGCTATACTTAACATCTCTTGGAGATAACATCCAACTAAATCACGTCTCTGTGGACCCATCCCTAATATTTCTACAATCCTACGCGAATGTAGAATGCGCTTTGCAGGATACTGCAAGCGATCAAAACAAGAACTTGCAAGTAGTCTGCTCTGAATACTTAGCCATGAGGCAAGACGGGTTGGTCTTTCAACAACCACCTATATTAACTAGCTATGTTATGATACAGAATCCCGCCCTAATGACCTTCCGACCTTTCTGCAGTACGCTGATGCTTGGTGTGATAGACTCATAAATGTCTGAATTAGCACAACCGAGTAAATAAAATAATCATTTGTAAAAATATGTTCCGTTATGCAGTGTATTATCTAACACATTCTTATGAGTTTCACCTTGCTACTGTCTTTTGCAAAGCTTCAACTTACTCTAGGTTTCGAGATTAAATATTTTCATTATTCCTCAAATTTTACTGCTTGATTTCTTATATTGGAAATTTTACTGCCTGTATTTGTCTAATGTTCCGTCATAACTCCATTATACTTAATAGCAACATCATCGTTTTGATTTTGTCATAACCGATATATTCTTCGGCTTTCAAATTAAGTTGTAGAAATTCGTGAACAGTTGCTTAGAGTAAGACTTGAACTAGGTTCTCCTCCCGCAAGCTCATTTATAGTATTTCTTTCTCAATAATCAAGTGGGGCTTGATGAGTTGTAAATGAAACAATAGTTTTTTCTACCGACAGAAGTACTGCAGTCACTAATTTCATTGATTACAATTAATATAGGTACCTCCAAAATTTTCTAAAAAAGGCCATTCTATGATGAAAAAAGGCTCCAAATTTGATAAAAGTTTTATCGCCAAAATATTTGGGTTATTATTAAGCCAAGCTTTTATTATAATTATTATTAAACAATTTTTTTATTATTATTTTATTAATGTTTTCAATCCTTTCTAACACTTTCAAAATTTTAGTAAAAAATCTTTTTTTTGCCTCAGCGGGTGAGACAAAGATTAGTATAGGGATTTTTAGCGTCTTTCTAGCCGTTAAAAACACACTGTTTTGGAAATTCTTGCAAAAATCAAATAATTGTCGGATTTTAATTAAATTTTCAGGACCTTTCACAAATGAAGTAAATTATTTTGAATTTTTTTTGTTTTAGAAAATCATGGTAAAAATAATTTTGTTTTTACATCTGTTACCACCACTTAATTCTATGAAATTTCAGCCTCTTCATATTTATATTAGTTAAAGTCAGAACTCATCGGAAAATTTAAATCATCAATTGTTTTTTTGTCAAACAGAAACATCATTTACCGAAAATCTGCTCTCAATCATAAAATAAAAACTGCAATGAAACTACGACATTATTTAATTAGAAAAGTTTTTAATTGATTTTATAAATAATATATATTATGGATATTTCGATGAATAATGGATTTTTACAAGAATTGTTTTAATTTAAAAAAAATAATTATAAAAATCTATTAAGTTTTAAATCTTTTAAAATTCTGTGTTAATTTCAAGCTTTTAGATTATATTAATACTAAGTGAAAACTATATATACTAATCCTAAATGAAAATCTTAATACAAATCATCACACACCAATATGTTTAAAAGAATTTTGTATTTGTATAAACGTGCCTACTTTTGTAAGTACGGACGACTATAACGACATTATCAGAAAATAAGAGGGATAAATATAGTAAATTTAAAGCCAACATTTCTAAAATTCAATAAATATTAGATTACGGAGAAAATTTTCCTAAACTTTCATGATTAATGAGTACTTAAAAATTATATAGGCTGTAGACCCCTTCTCTTAGGCAAAAAGAATAGAATTCACACATTTTCCAAGAGAAAGCACGTAAGTGAATATAATGGATTCGACTGGAATTCGAACTCAGCTCTCCGATTCCTCAATCCAAGCTATTCATTACTCCACCGTGCGAATTTTATATGTGTTGCTCTTGTCCTAAGTATTATCGTGCTTTACCAGCCTTCATGTGATTATTTTCTTCAGTATCCTTCACTAGGTTACAACACTAACCTTAGATGGCAACCAGTTTAAAAAGAATATGTTGAATTACAAACGCCGTTGAGAATGGAACAAGAAACCATTCCACTATCATTCCCAATAAGTTATTATATTATTATCATTCCCAATAAGTTATTATATTTCACAAATAAATAAATGAGCGACATGTCATTAAAATTATTAATAACTATGCTTTTATTCATGACTATTTACAGAATGAAGTAACTTTTTAAACTCCAAGCCATACAGAAGCACTACTGTGCACACTGCAGAAGTACTCACCTTTACTGGTAGATGGAACCACTATAAACTCTTATATTATTTATTAAGCAAGTAACTTATTTATTAGGCAAGTAACTTATTTATTAAGCAAGTAACTTATTTATTAGGCAAGTAAATTATTTATTAAGCAAATTAACTTATTTATTAGGCAAGTAATTATTTATTAGGCAAGTAACTTATCCATTACACCAACGTTCTTCTACTCGAACAACATAGTAAAATTTATTTAGAAATACAAAGTTACGAGAAATGCACCGATAGTACACTGATACGAGTAAGAAGACCGGAAAACAACATTTTCATCCGAGGTAGTGAGCACAGATACAGGACTGTTTCTAGGCAGAAGTGCCGAATAACGTTTAAATGATTCCGAAGTTTTTGGCGAGTACGACAGCTTATTAAAAAACAACTCACTGTTAGGTGTAGGAAAGAACATCACAATCAAAATAAAATAGCCATATTCATCTATTTTTTATGTAGTTGATAGTAACTGCACTATAATTTCTAATGCCAAAAATGACTCTCCAGAAATTCAGAGATTCATTGTTTGATCTGAAATCACGACTAAAAAAGAAAACGAAGAGAGAAATAGACTTTTCAGAAGTACTGATATCCTCAGCCATTCACTTAATGAAAGGTAATCAAGTATCCAACATGGCGTCAGACCCAGAACTGAAACAAAGCAAAACACCTCTAAGAAAAACTGCATATGCATACATGACTCCCATCTAAAGCGCACACACACACACACACACACACACACACACACACACACACACACACACACACACACACACACACCACACTTTATCTCATGTGAATACCCTCCTCCAGCAAAGGGTATTTTAAGTACTCGACCTATGTGTAAAGACGCGCATGCTCTGTAGGACAAACTGAGGCAAGCCAGCCATAACTTGAAAAGGGCACACTCGGTACATAGCAATAGTGCATTGTAACCCAGAATAAGTTTTCAGTGTGTGTGTGTGTGTGTGTGTGTGTGTGTGTGTGTGTGTGGCGAAAATTTTACACATAATTTATATTTGAATCCTTTTTACTTGATGTGCGGCGTACATCCGTCAAAACTGTCACGGTCCCATAAGTGAAAAAAAAGGGAGATCATTCTTTTTCTAAAAGTTCAGATGTATGTACAATAGAATCTGTGTTTAGATGATAGAAAGCGACTTCTTCTGTGTGCTTGAGTGTATATACGCAAGGATTTCAGTGATGATTTTTCAAGCACAGTGGCCCCTCGCTATCAGGATGGGCGGTGCAAAGTAATCTCCTTATCTATGCTTTTATTCCTCTATTTTGTCTTCTAACATAATATATATATATATATATATATATATATATATATATATATATATATATAATAATTTTATCCATGTCTATATCTATCTATCTATCTATCTATCTATCTATCTCTCTCTCTCTCTCTCTCTCTCTCTCTCTATATATATATATATATATATATATATATATATATATATATATATATATATATTATACAGATTTTCTGTAGTTCATTGCTACCAGCAAGCAAAACTTTTTTTCTCCTGATGATGGCCATGTTAGGCGAAACTAATCGAGGAATCTAAATGAAATAATAATAAAAATCGAAAGAATATTAATCTACAACCCACTGTGTCTGAAGATTTGAATTTTTGATATTTTTATTGTTCAATATATATATATATATATATATATATATATATATATATATATATATATATATATATATATAT